GAAATTAGTTTTCTACGAAAAAGAACAAAAAAAGAAGAAGAAAAGAATCAAAAAAGGAAAAGAATAAAAAAAAAGAATAAAAAAGGAAAAGAATCAAAAAAGGAAAAGAATCAAAAGAAGAAAAGAATCGAAAAAAAATATATATATATATATATATATATATATATATATATGTGGCAGTTGTTATTTTTTTAAAATTTTAGTGCACATTAGCTGTTTGATAAAATTCCTAAGTGTCACGCGTCTTTGTCTAATCTTTGTTTTCCCATACAGTTTAAATTTGTCTTGCTTGTTATTAGTAGTAAAATTGTTCTTTGCTACTTGTCCTTTGTTGGTACTACAATTCTGTTTTATTCCTTGTGATTGCTACAGTTGAAAGTGATTCTTGAACTATAGATTGTTTGATTCTTGTAAGAACCATAAGTCAGAGAACGAGTGGAAAAAGACAAGAGTGCATATTATACAAAAGCCAAATTGAGAGTAAACATGAGTGGTACATCTTTGAGTGCAAACACGTGAGAAGAGTGGTGAGGTCCTATTACTTCATTTGTTTGGTCCTTTCTTCTTTTTTACTTGAAAGATGGTAGGTGCAGGTGATTATGGTGGTACCCCTCCTCTAGGGGGTGACAATAGATTATTGATTGATGTCATTACAGCCCAAATGCAAAGAATGTTGACAGAACATACCGAGGAGTTGTATGGGAGAATTGAACAACTAGAAAATCAAGGAAATGATGATGATGGTGGAGGTAGAAGGAGGAGAAGGAGAAATAATGAAGGTGATGTTAGAGATAACAGAATTGAAGGAGTAAAGCTGAACATACCCTCTTTTCAAGGAAAGAGTGATCCAGAAGCATATTTGGAGTGGGAAATAAAAATTGAGCAACTGTTTGCATGCCATAATTACACAGAAGATAAAAAGATGAGGGTGACAACCATGGAATTCACTGATTATGCTCTCATTTGGTGGAACTAATTACAAAGGGAAAGGGTGAGATATGAAGAACCCTTGGTGGAAAGTTGGGAAGAAATGAAGAGGTTGATGAGAAGAAGATTTGTTCCTTATCATTATCAAAGAGATCTTCACAACAAGCTCCAAAGACTCATACAAGGTAGTAGAGGTGTTGATGAATATTACAAAGAGATGGAGGTTTCCATGATTAGGGCTAATGTTATGGAGGCACGGGAGGCTACTATGGCCCGATTCCTACATGGGATAAATAGTGATATAAGGAATGTTGTGGAGCTGCAAAATTATGTTGAGTTGGAGGATTTAGTACATCAAGCTTCTAAGGTAGAACAACAATCGAAGAGAAAGGGTGCCATGAGGAGGAGTTCATCTAATTTTCACTCTCCTAGTTCGAAGGACAAAAATAAGAAGGAGGGTGGATCATCAACAAGCAATTCCAATGTTATAGCTCATAGAAATCAAAATAAGTCTGATGAGGCACTTAAGAAAACAATGAGTAGTGAGGTTAAGTGCTTCAAATGTTTGGGAAGAGGTCACATAGCTTCTCAATGTCCCACTAAGAAGACTATGTTACTTAAGGAGGATGGAGAAATAATTAGTGAATCTTCTTCGGATTCTTCATCTAGTGATGAAAATGAGCATGAAGATGAAAGAGAGTTAGAAGGAGATCTGTTCATGATTAGAAGGATGTTGGGTAGTCAATCAGTTGAATTGGATGATTGTCAAAGAGAAAATATTTTTCATGCAAGGTGCCTCATTCAAGGGAAGTTGTGCTCTTTAATCATTGATGGTGGGAGTTGCACTAACGTGGCTAGTGCACGGTTGGTTTCAAAAATGAATTTGGAGACTAAGCCACACCCGCGACCTTACAAACTTCAATGGCTTAGTGAAGATGGTGAGATGACCGTGAATAGGAAAGTTGAAGTGGGTTTTTCCATAGGGAAAATATGAAGATTCTGTTTTGTGTGATGTGGTGCCTATGGAGGCTTGTCATTTACTTCTTGGGAGACCATGGCAGTATGATAGGAGAGTTATGCATGATGGTTTCACTAATAAGTTCTCTTTTATGCATAAAGACTGCAAAACTACTCTTGCACCTTTGGTTCCAAGAGAAGTTAGTGAGGATCAGCTGAAAATGAGAAAGAAAAGAAAAGAAGAAAGAAAAGAAAAAGAGAGAGAAAAGAGAAAAGAAAAAGAGAGTGAAAAGAAAAAGGAAAAAGAGGAAGAAAAAGAGAAAGAGAGAAAAAAATCAAATCTATTTATAAAAGAAAAAGAAGTCAAAAGAGCTATGCAATTGAGAAAGCCAATACTTTTACTTTTGTGTAAAGAAAGTAAATCAAACAGTCCATGTTTTACTAACTCTCTTCCAAAAGAGGTTTCTTCTTTGTTGCAGGATTTTGAAGATGTTTTTCCCAAAGAAGTGCCTATAGGTCTACCCCCTCTTAGGGGTATTGAGCATCAAATTGACCTTTTTCCAGGAGCTTCATTGCCTAATAAACCAGCCTATTGAAGCAATCCCCAAGAAACCAAGGAGATTCAAAAGCAAGTTGAAGACTTAATGCAAAAGGGGTGGGTTAAAGAAAGCTTGAGTCCATGTGCAGTCCCAGTCATTCTAGTCCCTAAGAAAGATGGAACTTGGAGGATGTGCATAGATTGTAGAGTTATCAATAACATCACGGTAAAGTATAGACATCCCATTCCTAGGTTAGATGACTTGTTGGATGAATTATATGGTGCTTGTATCTTCTCTAAAATTGACTTGAAAAGTGGATATCATCAAATCAAAATTAGAGAAGGAGATGAGTGGAAAACAGCTTTTAAAACTAAATATGGGTTGTATGAGTGGCTAGTTATGCCCTTTGGGTTAACTAATGCTCCAACCACTTTTATGAGATTGATGAACCATGTCTTGAAAGAGTTTTTAGGCAAATGTGTAGTGGTGTATTTTGATGATATTTTGATATATAGCACTAACTTTGATTTACATGTTGAACATTTGCATGCTGTCATGAATGTGCTTAGGAAAGAAAAATTATTTGCTAATCTTGAAAAATGTACCTTTTGCACTGATCATGTTGTGTTCTTGGGATTTGTTGTGAGTTCTAAAGGGGTACAAGTTGATGAGGAAAAGATTAGAGCCATTCAAGAGTGGCCTACCCCTAAGAATGTGAGTGAAGTGAGAAGCTTTCATGGGTTAGCTAGTTTCTATAGGAGGTTTGTTAAAGACTTTAGTACTTTGGCTGCACCTCTTAATGAAATAGTCAAAAAGCATGTTGGGTTTAAATGGGGTGAAAAACAAGAAAAGGCATTTTCTGAAGTTAAGCACAAACTATCTAATGCGCCAATCCTTGCATTACCAAATTTTGCAAAATCTTTTGAAATTGAATGTGATGCATCTAATGTGGGTATTGGGGCTGTTTTGCTACAAGAAGGTCATCCAATTGCTTATTTTAGTGAGAAGTTGAATGGGGGTGCCCTAAACTATCCCACCTATGATAAAGAATTGTATGCCTTAGTGCGTGCTTTACAAACTTGGCAGCATTACCTTTTACCAAAAGAGTTTGTAATTCATAGTGATCATGAATCTTTGAAATACTTAAAGGGACAAGGTAAGTTAAACAAGAGGCATGTCAAATGGGTTGAGTTCTTGGAGCAATTTCCATATGTCATCAAGCATAAAAAGTGAAAAGGGAATGTAGTAGATGATGCACTTTTTAGGAGATATGCATTACTTTCTATGCTTGAAACTAAATTGTTTGGTCTTGAATCTTTGAAAGACATGTATGTGAATGATGTGGATTTTGCTGAAACTTTTGCTGCATGTGAAAGGTTTTCTAAAAATGGTTACTTTAGGCATAATGGATTCTTGTTTAAAGCAAATAAATTGTGTGTGCCTAAGTGTTCTATTAGAGAGTTGCTTGTGAGTGAATCACATGAAGGGGGTTTGATGGGTCATTTTGGGATTCAAAAGACTTTAGAAATTTTGCAAGAGCATTTTTTTTTGGCCTCATATGAAACGTGATGTGAATAAGTTTTGTGATCACTGCATTGTGTGTAAAAAGGCTAAATCTAAGGTTAAGCCTCATGGGTTGTATACTCCTTTACCTGTTCGTGAATATCCTTGGACTGACATTTCTATGGACTTTATTTTAGGGCTGCCTAAAACAAAGAATGGAAAGGATTCTGTGTTTGTTGTTGTTGATAGGTTTTCTAAGATGACACATTTCATACCTTGCAAGAAGGTAGATGATGCTTGTCATGTGGCTAATTTGTTTTTCAAGGAAGTAGTAAGGCTACATGGGCTGCCGAGGAGCATTGTGAGTGATAGGGATTCAAAATTCCTTAGTCACTTTTGGAGGACCTTGTGGGGTAAGATTGGTACTAAATTATTGTTTTCTACTACTTGTCACCCACAAACTGATGGTCAAACTGAGGTAGTCAACAGGACTTTAGGCACATTGCTTAGGACTATTTTAAAGAAAAATCTTAAGACTTGGGAAGCATGTTTACCGCATGTTGAGTTTGCTTATAATAGGGTTATCCATAGCACCACTAATTATTCACCATTTGAGATTGTGTATGGATTTAATCCTTTGACTCCTCTTGATTTGTTGCCTTTGCCTAACATTTCTATGTTTAAGCATAAGGAAGCACAGGCTAAAGCAGAATATGTGAAGAAGCTGCATGAGCAAGTAAAAGCTCAAATTGAAAAGAAGAATGAGAGCTACGCAAGGCAAGCTAACAAGGGTAGGAAAAAGGTGGTGTTCCAACCTGGTGATTGGGTTTGGGTGCACATGAGAAATGAAAGGTTTCCTGAACAAAGAAAGTCTAAACTTCAACCTAGAGGAGATGGGCCATTCCAAGTCTTAGAGAAGATCAATGATAATTCTTATAAGATTGATCTACCAGGAGAGTATAATGAAGTTCTTCTTTTAATGTTGCTGACTTGACTCCTTTTGATGCAGGAGATGAATTCATAGATTTGAGGACAAATGCTACCCAATAAGGAGGGAATGATGTGGACATAAAGGCCCAAACCCATAATGAGAAGGATCAAGATCAAGATCCAATCCAAGACTTAGGTGGACCTATGACAAGAGGCATGCTCAGAAAAACACAAGAGGCATTGCAATACAAAGTGACCAATTTGCTAAAGGCCCAACTATTAAAAGATCCAAACATGGAGGAGTCTAGACCTATCACATACATAGAATGTTTGGAGAGCTAGGAGGCCCAACTAAAAGATTTAATTTTTATTATTATTATTATTTTATTTGCTACAATGGGGATTTGAACCCAAGACCCAAAGCTTATAATGCTTTCACTGAACCATCTGGGTAACTTAACTTTGCTTGGGATATTAGGATTTTAATTTATCTTTATTTCCTACAATGAGACAAACTCATAAACTTAAGTTGTATTAAACATTTGGGACTTTAGAATGAACGTACGTAATATTCAGATTACTTTGTGAGTTGTTGCTCTGCTAGGGTTCTTCCTTGCATCATTTGATCTTATCAAGAATTATCCAATTCTTGTGGCGATCCTTCTTGGCTTATCAAATATTCTTATTTGTGGCGCCTACGTATCTTTTATTTTTTTCTGTTTTCTATTTTCAATCAAATCAATTCTTAAAACCTAACCCTAAATTGTTTCCCTTCTATTTGAGTGTCGTCATTTTCCTTGTAGAACCACTGACCATCCTTTGTTAGCGGGATCAGTGACATAAAACACTCGTTTTACCTGAGATGCCATGATAAATGGTTCTTCAGTATAACGAGTATTTTCAAGGTTAACCAAGGTAAATCCAAGATCGTCGGTGAAGATGCCATTATTAAAGTCAACCCACTTACATTTAAAAATAGGTACTCTGAATATCGTGTAATCTATTACCCAAATCTCTTCAATTACACCAAAGTAGCCCATTGGCGCCCTTATCGGATATTTATCCTTTGAACTCGAGAAATGCATTGATTCAGCCACCACCATGACTCCACTATTTTGCATTGTGCTTATTTCATCTTCTCCCTTTGTATAAAATGAATAGTTATTTATATCATACCCACCCCAACATATCACATCAAAGTTTGGCTCACATGCTAGCCACTTTAGTGTATCAGAAGCTGTATTGTCACCTTCAACTTGTTGTTTAAACCACTTCAAAAAGCTCTTGTTGTGTTCAGTAATCACCCACTTTTTAGGCATACGTGGATTATTTCACTTCACAATGTCTTTATGAGCACTTAAGTATGGGATGACTTCTTCACTGTTATTCAATATGTACAAATGCGCTTGAAGTACTTCATCTCGACACATTATCAAAACTTTTACATCTCGAGTTCCTCTACCAAGACCTATTCCATGGTAACGAGTCTTAGGTAACCCTATAGCTTCAACTTTTGATAAGTATTTTGTGCAAAACTCAATAGCTTCCTCTGCAATATATCTTTGAACAATTGATGCTTCAGGACGATATTGGTTCTTCACATACCCTTTTAATATCTTCATGTATCGCTCAATAGGGTACATCCATCGTAAGAAAGCTGGACCACAGATTCTAACTTCCTTGGCTAGATGAACAATCAAGTGAACCATAATATCAAAAAATGATGGAGGAAAGTACATCTCAAATTGACACAATATGACTGCAGCCTCATTCTCTAACTGATCCAAAACATCTGGGTCCATAACTTTACTACATATGGCATTAAAAAAGAAGCATAATCGAGTTAAGGAATATCTAACATTGTCTGGTAAGATACCTCGAATAGCCACAAGTAGAAGTTGTTGCATCAATACATGACAATCATGAGATTTTAACCCAAGCAATTTTAGATCTTTCATAGATACAAGTCTCTTCACATTGGAAGAGTAACCAAATGGAACCTTCACACCTCGTAAAAACTCACAAAAACTTTTCTTCTCTTTTTTAGACAGTGTGTGATATGCTGGAGGCAAGTATGTTCGGTTACCATGAGGTTGAGGAGCTAATTGTTCTCTTATACCCATTTCAACCATGTCCAAACAAGCATTGACACCATCTTTTGTTTTTCCTTGAATGTTAAGGAGCGTTCTGATGATACTGTCACACACATTTTTCTCTACATGCATGACATCTATACAATGCCTCACATCAAGAACCCTCAAATATGGAAGAACAAAAAGGATTGACATTTTCTTCCATATACCTGTGGCTTTCTTTTGCGTCTTTCCAAACTCAAATGAAATCGCCCTCGCTCGTTGATATACTTCCTCCCCACTTAAAGGTGTTGGGGTTGCATCATTTTCTTGACACCCGTTAAATGATATTTCTAATTTACGATACGAATGGTTTGAAGGAAGAAATCTTCGGTGTCCAAGGTACACTATTTTCCTTCCATGTTGTAGTTGATAATGACATGTGTCTTCTTCACATATCGGGCAAGCTTTATGTCCCTTGGTGCTGTAGCCACTCAAATTACCATATGCTGGAAAGTCATTAATTGTACAAAATAACATTGCACGCAATTTGAATAAGTCACCTGTGTACCCATCAAACACATCAACACTTTCCTCCCACAACATCTTCAACTCTTCAACCAATGGGCTTAAAAAAGCATCAATGTCACTTCCAGGTTGTCTGGGACCCGAGATCATCAAAGATAGCATCAAGTATTTACGTTTCATACACAACCATGGAGGTAAGTTGTAAATAACTAACACCACAGGCCATGAACTATGTTTACTGCTTAAATTTCCATATGGATTCATTCCATCTCGTAGCAAGTCCAAACCTAATGTTTCTTGGATCATTACCAAAATTCCGGAAGATGGAATCAATTTTTTCCATTGCAATCCATCTGCTCGGATGCCTCAACTCGACCATCTTTAATACGACTATCCGCATGCCATCTAGTGAGCTTTGCATCATTTCCATTAGTGAATAATCGTTTCAATCTTGGAACAATGGAAAGATACCATAACACTTTTGCCGGGGTACCCTTCATTACATCATTGTCAGAATCACCATCCTTCTTCTTGTATCGTGATTCCCCGCATTGTGAACATTCGTGAAAGTTCTCAAATTCTTTCCTGTACAACACACAATCATTCGGACATCCATGAATTTTTTGGTACTCCATACCCATTGGACACAAAATCTTCTTAGCATCATAATTGCGGGTTGTCAATGTTTTACCTTTAGGGAGCATGTCACTCAACAACTCAAGCAATTCTGTGAAACTTTTATCAGTCCACCCATTCTTTGCCTTCACATTGAACAATTTTAGTACCGCCAACAATCATGTGAACTTAGTACAATTTGCATACAAAGGCTTTTTTTGCATCATTGGACAACTTCTCGTACACATGTGTATGTTGGAAAGCATCTTGTCCAAGCTCACGAATCATTTCCTCCAGCTGATCATCCATCTCTAGATAAACTTCTTCTTTGTCTTCTACACTTGGCATGTTTAATAATTCACCATGCCATGTCCATTTTATGTAACTCTTTAGGAAACCATCACAAAGAACATGTTCCCGAATAACTTCAATCGGTAATCTTCGTTCATTCAAGCAGTTAACACACGGGAAATAGAATCTTCCATCATTATCCGGAACATTCATCTTAGCAAATTCAAGGAATTGTTCTACTCCACTCTCATATTCATTTGTTGTTCGTCTATAATTGATCCAACTCCGATCCATTGTTACCTTCTGTGACATAACACAACATATAAGTATAGTTTAAGGATGATAACATCCAACATGTTTTGCTGAAATTGCGATATCACGTGATTGGATATTTTAATCTTTCAATAGGAATTTTTGTCCTACAATGGATCATTTCATGACTCACTCCAATCAAGGCTCACCGTATTGTCTCACATTAGGGTGAGCATAAGTGATGATAGTTTTCACTTAAAATGAAATAACTACATTATAATACAAATTTAATTTTCAAAATCAAAATCAAGAAAGAATGCCTACAGAAACACATTTAAATGACTAAACTACTTACAATACGTGTCTAATTAGCTAAAGGCACCCGTGATCTTTCCCTCTCTTGACAACATTATTACATACCAGATTCAAAACTGTAAACCTACAATAGCTAAAGCAAGCACGAAAACTTACCTCTTGAAGATCTACAGAGTTGGCAGGTGGCGTGACATGCAAAGCTGGGTGGGGAGAAACTTACACAGGCGACGGGCACCAACGATAGCGGCGATAGCAGCAGGCGTCACGACATACAGAGCTGGCAGGTGGCATGACGTGCAGAGCTGGGTGGGGAGAAACGTACACAGGCGATGACGTTCGCAGTAGAGACAGAGAGAACGGGGAGCTCTGCTATGGGTGAAGTGATGAAATGGAGTGTTGCGGCGAGGGTAAAACAGAAGATACTATGTCGGTTGCCCTAACACCCGTCATCAAATACACTTTCTATGTCGGTTAAATTTTAACTAACATAGAAAGTTTACTTTCTATGTCGGTTAAAATTTACCCGACATAGAAAGTGAACTTTCCCACTTACCATGTCGGTTACCTATTAACCGACATAAAAAGTTTATGATTTTATTACAAAATTGCCACTGCGCTACATACTATGATGAGTGAACTACGACCGTGATAAAAACTCATAGAATCCTATTTTTCCACTAGTGTAGAGTCCATTATCATGTCTAAGATATTTTTTTGTTTAGAAACTTTAATCTATCACGATTTCATTCTTAAAAAATGTCTCAATAGATTAAGAAAAAAGGATGTATATAAACCATTGTTTTAAAAACCAAACCGGACCGGGTCGCTCAATCGGTTGAACCAAGAATCGGACTAGAAACCGATTTGTTACTTCCAAATAATCAAATTTTAATTAAATCGAAAAAAAATCAGAAAAATAGGAACAAAATTAATAAAACTGAAAAAATGGATGAAGTTTTTGGATCAAACTGATTTAATATAATTTTTTTTAAAAGCTATAATATATTTTAAGTATTTCTATTTCATATTAATTATGTTAACTTTAAATAATAATTATTTTATTATATTTTTATTTTATTTTAATAATTATTCATCTTATATCCTCTAATATATTTTATATTTATAATTTTTATTTTAATATGATAATAATATTTATTATTTTTAATAAAAAATATTAATATTAATAAATTTATTATATTATAAAAATATTATTTTATTAAATTTCGTTTAACTCAATTAAGTTAAACCCTTCACAGATATCATTATCCA